TTTGTGTCATATGCAGCTGGTGTCGCTCTGGTCTCTTCTCCACCCAAGAAGTTATCCAAATCCAAATACATTCAAACTTGAACTTAAGTTCAAGTTATGGACCAATATACACTTTCCTCAGCATTTCAGTTCTTGAAAAACTACTGTATTGCACTGCTTCCTAGTGGTTCTTAGACGTTTTATTCCTGCACTGATCCTTAGATGTATTATTTCCCCAATCGGATTGTTAACTCCTTTAGCCTGGACTGTGTTTATGCATTCTAGGAGCACCCCTTAGAATATAACTTCTATGATGGATGCATGCTTGACGATCATTAATCGTTTGCCAGCTGACTAGTTCAAGGCAGCCACTTGCTGAATTTGATAGTTCAAAGAAAAATAATTGTTTACTAAATCTGAGATTGGCAATGGGAAAAGTATCAAAACCAAAACAAAACTTAAAAAAAAAAAGAAAAAGAAAAGGAATGAAACAGAAAAAATATTCCACCCAGTGGTTCTGTGACTTTGGGTAAATAATTTCCCTTTTGTATCCATATGAGTAGAATGAACACTATATTAGACCACTGGCTCTTAAAATTTGGGGAATCCTGATTATCTTTGAAAATCTGATAAAAGCTAAGGAGTCTCTCCTTAGAAAAATGAAGAAAGTGCTCACATTTAAAATCTTGCATATAATTTCTGCAAATTCTCAGACACTTGGACCAAAGAATCTGAAAGATTCCACCTAGTCCTGATAGTCAGGATGGATTCTGAGGTGGCCAGTGATAGGTGCTTCTTCCTGCCAAAATGAACCAGCGAGTGGCTTGATTAGGAATTGAGTAACTGGGCATTGAGCAGCCACCGCTGACCACACAATAGATGCCCTACCCAGTCTCCCCTGCCCAACCACCTCCAAAGGCCGGCCATTGCTCTCCTGAAGTGTGGGATGCCATATCCAGCCCTACCCCACTTCTTGGACAAGTGCTTGAAACGCAAGTCCTGCTGGCCACCGTCCACCTTTACCTGGGATGGCAGCACCTCTCTGTCAACTTCCTCCTTGTCTGGCCTTTTCATTGTTAGGGAAAGTGTTGCTATGGTGATTTGGTTGGAAACTTTTGCAGTTAGGGTAAAATGATTTTCTTGAGTCAGGGAAGATAAAACTATTGTTGAGGATGACTTAAGACAATACTTTTGCCTGGTTATCTCTTTCTCAACTCACCTCTGCCCTTTTATACCTCCAGAGACTCTAAAAACATTCAAATGGAAAACATGACAAGATCCCAGGCAAAATGTTAAAGGTTTCCAACTGGTATTTAATCTGCATGAGCCTCCCTCTCACTCTATAAAATGAAATTAAACGTTAATGATTTCAATCTCTTATTCATCCAACATAGATTTTTCTCTCTCTACATTAAATGAACAACAAATACAAAATAATCTTTGTGTTCTTTCTTTTGCTATCACTTTTACATGAGGATGCCATAGGTGTTTACAGGTAGCGCTGGGTAAACAACAGCATACTCTGAGGACAGATCTGAGTTATTTCCTCTATAACGATCACAAGGAAAGCTTTGCAAAGGAGAGCAGGAGAATTTTATCTAAAGAGCTCATCTTTTTGGACTCTCTTTCAGGTATCCCCTGTGGTGTTCCTCTGTGAAGTGATTTTGTTCTAATTTGAGTCTATAAATGTGTTTCCTTTGACTCACTGCGGGTTTTCTCTTTGATGATAAAATTAGTTTACATGAGAAGCCCATCTTTGGGGAAAGAGTAAGGGGAGGAAGAAGTCAGCCCTCTTTCTCCAGGGGGCATGGCCTGTGCTCTGTGAAATTTGCTTTTCTAAGCATGAAAATTCTTAAGAGGTTCAGCCCTGCAAACCTCTCCTCAGCACAGTGAGCTGAGGAAGCATCTGGAGACTGGGATTTGAGTGATTCCTACCAATGAAATACTAGGCAGACACATATTAAAGAAATCTGTGCTTCATACCATAAGACCCAGCTATACCACTCCTGGGTGTTTATCCTAAAGAATTAAAGCCATCATGCTATACTGACACATGCTTGCCCATATTTATAGTAGCACAGTTCATAATAGCCAAACTACGGAACCAGTGTAGGTGCCCATCAATGAATGAATAAATAAAGAAAATATGGTATATATGCACAATGGAGTTTTATTTGGCCATAAAAATGGAACTATGGCATTTGCAGGAAAATAGATGGAACCTTGAAACGTTTAGGTCAAGCAAAATAAGCCCAATTCAGAAGGTCAAGGGTCATGTGCTTTCTCTCATATGCAAAAGCTAGAGAGGAAAAAAGGAAAAGAAAAGTGTGTGTGTGTTGGGGATTGGGGTACGGATCTCATGAAAATCAAAGAAAGATCAGTAGAATGGATGAAAGGGATTGGGGAAGGAAAAGGGGAAATACTGGGGAATGATATTGGCCAAATTATATTGTTATATAACTATAATGCACCAATGAAAAATGTGGGAAGGGAAATCTGTGGTTCATTCAGACCTTTCTTTTTAGCATAATGAGTCTCGATTTCCTTGCCTGGTAAGTTGTTCATCAAGGACAATGTCAACCTTTTTTTGCTTCCTGCCTTCCTCTAAATACATGTGTTTAGTGGTAGGACATCCTAAAGGGACATTGCCAGGGAACAAGTGGAAGGAGGGAGAGTAGCCCTTACTCACCATCACTGCAGTTTTTATCTTATGCCAAGGATCTTCTCAATCTAACTTCATCTCAGGAACCAAGCCAGCCCACCATTTCTCAGCATATGACCTTGAGCCAGTTACTTACCTGTTCAGTGCCTTGGTTTCCTCCTCTGTATTTAAGACAACAACAGCAAATGGGTAGAGTGCTCACTCTTCCTATCTGCTGCATAGGGCAGCTGGGGGAGTAAATGAGTATTAGAACAGTGCTTTGAAAGCACTTCAAAGAGATAGCTCTTATCAGCTATTGACACAAACCCTCCAGTTAGGCCATTCATTCTCACTGACCCCCTTCACACACTGATCTTCCCAGCTTTTATCTTGCTGTTCTTATCACCCACAACCCTCTTTCTCCTCTTCAGAAGGGACATTCATACAGAGCACAGCTGTCCAACTGAGATGCAGTATAAGTCTATTTGAAAATTTATATTTTCTTATTGGGCCATTAAAAAAGATAACAAAAAACAAGTGAAATTAATCTTAATAAACTATTTTAACCCATTGTGTCATTTAATCATGTGTCCATTATGAAAAGTTATCAATGAGATATTTTACATTCTTTTTTATTTTTTCATCAAAATCTATTATACAAGCCAGCACAGTGCACATGTCTATAATCCCAGAAGCTTGGGAGGCTGAGGCAGAAGGATTGCAAGTTCAAGGCCAGCCTCAGCAACTTAGTGAGGAGACCCTGTCTCAAAATAAACAAAAAAGGCCTGGGGATGTAGCTCAGGGGTAAAACACCCCTGGGTTCAATCCCCGATACCTAAATAAATAAAATCTGTTGTACATTTTGTGTTTAGCATGCACCTCAATTCAGCCTAGCCACATTTCAAGTGCTGACTGGCCACATGGGTTAGTGGTACCATGTGACTACATCCAAGGCCAGAGTGAGCAGGCAGCTGTGTGATACCAGCTCTGTAAGTGGGCAAGACCTTAGATGATGGCTGGCACAGGTTGAGAGTTTACAGAGGGATGTCAGGCACCACACTGACGGTGTGTATCTCATTTCATGTCTACCACGGTCCTCTTAGGTAGGGACCTTCATCATTCCCCATTTTATAGGAGAAATGGAGTCCTCGAGAAGTCTCAGCTGGTTAAGTAACAGAGCTGGGGTTTGAACGTGGCTCTGTTTGACTCCAGAGCATATACTCTCACCCTCGGCCTGTTGCCTACCAGACGGGAGCTGAAATGGAGATCTGCCTTCTCTGCGGGACACTCACGAGGACATGTGAACATTCCGAGATGGGGGCACAGATGTATAAGTTGTTCAGAGTAAGAATGTCCACGAGCAGATTTGTCTTGGGTTTTCCCGTAGCAATTTGTGCGGTCACCCTGTAAACCTCATATTTGTTTATTTGTGAACAGATTGTGAATAAATGGAATCTGCACTCTCCTGACCTCTGGGGATGGGGCTGCCAAGGGAAGGCTTGTTTATGAAACATCTGGAAAGCAGAGTCCTTGAAAATGAACTCTCCCGTGTGGGGGTCTTTTCACTGCAGTCGAGACTGTCGAGCACGAGCGGCTGGTCTCTACACCGTGCTGATTCTTGGCCCTGAATACGATGTCCTTGCTTTTATTGGCAGGAACTTCCAGTTGATGACCCATGATTTAAAATCGGGACCCCTTTCAGATAAGATATGTTAACTCATGTTTATGAGTGTCACTTCTGGAGTTCAAATGCTGTTATTTTACACACCCGCCAGCTCCCCTTCCTGATGGTATTTCTGAACAATTTCTTTCTTCTTCTTTTTTTTTTAATTAAAAAAAGACCAGATTTTGACAACAATTGGACCTTAATCGAAGAGCAGATCCAGATGGACTCCATGGTCATCAAGGGCCTTGATCCAGATACCAACTACCAGTTTGCCGTGAGGGCCGTGAATCCCCATGGCCCCAGCCCACGCAGCTGGCCCAGTGACACCATCCGAACCCTTGGTGAGTACCATGGCCCTCCAGGTACCATGTGTAGCTGCACTGCTGCTAGAGTTGCCTCCCGAGGACTCGCTTGCTGGGGGCTTCTTCGTGTCCTGAAGAAGGACAGCCTGGGTTGGGCTGGCCTCAGGCTTCCTCCTAGAGTTCCCAGCCCTTTGGAGATTGAAGTCACAGGCTAAGTCTATGACCAGGAGGTCAGTGGGAGATTTATTTTTGCATCATCCTTGGGGAGTTTGAGGTCAGTTTTCTTTTACAACTATAGAATGGGACAAAATGGTGTGTAGTCTTCCTGTCCCCTTTTCATCTTTTGAGAACATGAGTTCATCTTAGAACCATAGGGGGAAAATCTCAAGCCCTCAGATGCTTCAGGATCAGTGTTCACCTGCAAATCAAGGTTGACCTCTCTGAATGACGTTCATCACTGAAGTTACTGGAGTGATAACATGTCACCCTGGCGCCTCATCGATGGTGTAGGTTCTTATGGTGCCTCCCTGGGGAACTGGAGGAAGCTTGGGCCAGTGTTTATCAAGTCAACCGAGGATCTTCTTAAAAGTAGATTCTGTCTGTTCTGGAGTTCCTGCAGGTGACGTCAAGAACCACACTCCCACCAAGCCCAGCCCATAGGCTGTGGGGAGATTTCAGAACTGAAATTCTCACTGGCACTTTTTTTTGTTCAAAGAGCCCTGTTATTACTCCGGGTCCTCTTTACCCAAGAAAGGAACTCTTGGAAAAGATGTCTCCCTCTCTACACTGGTAGTTGGCCTTCCGTTGTCCCACACAAAACCCTGATGAGTGGCTTGGAATAAGCTCCTTCCCTGTCCTTACAAAACACCAGCACAGATGACTTCCAAGGCCAGTACTACTGGTCCTTCTGAAAACAACCCCTACCTTATAAGCTTGAATGCTAGGTGGGATTGTGTGGGTATATGATGAGGTCACACTTCCAAACACACACACACACACACACACACACACACACACACACTCTGATTAACTACAATCAGTTGACAACTGTTCCCCTCTTCTTCAGGATTCAGAAACTAAAACTCCCTAGGCATATGCCATGGGATGAGCGAAGCCCCTTCTTTCTAGAAGAAATGTTGACCACTCTGCTTCAATGGCCTGCCTTCTTAGATTTTTGCTAGATGAGATCTATTCTATCATCTTTGATTGAATTTTGTGATGTATGGCCAAAAATCAGGGTCATAGGAGTTAGGGGCTGACTGTATTTTGAAAACCTTGGTTTGTCTTTTCCTATTGCAATTTGAATTGGCACTCTGAGCTGTGCCCAACTATGTTAGTCAGCGTTTTGTTGCTGTGAACAAACTATCTGACAAGGGCAACTTAGAAGAGGAAAGGTTTCTTTGGGCTCACAAGTTTCCGAGGTTCAGTCCATGGTCAGCCAACTCCATTGGTCTGGGCCCAAAGTGAGGCAGAACATCATGGTGGAAGGGCATAGTGAAGGAACCCCAGCTCATGGCAAGAAAGGGGGTCGGACCCTGTTTACAGGAGATGAACTCTTCCAGGACATGCCTTCAGTGACCTACCACCTCCAGCCACACCCCACCTACCTACTGTTACCACTCAGTCCATTAAACTAGGATGGACTGATTAGGTAACACCTCTCAAAATCCAAATGTTTCTTCTCTAAATATTCTTGCATTAATACAGGAGCTTTGGGGAGATACCTCATATCCAAACCATAACATTCTGCCCCTGGCCTCCAGAAGTGCAAATGTCCATCTCACAATGAAAAGATGCATAGACATCATCTCCAAGAGCACCATAGTCTTTTTAAAAATTTACTCATTTATTTATTTGTTCTAATTTGTTATACAGGACAACAAAATGTATTTTAATTCATAGTACACAAATGGAGCACAGTTTTTCACTTCTCTGGTTTTACACAAAGTAGAATCACACCATTTGTGTCTTCATACATGTACTAGGGTAATGATGTCCATCTCATTTCACTGTCTTTCCTACCCCCTGCCCCCTCCTTCTCCTAGCTCCCCTTTGCCCTCTCTAGAGTTCCTCCATTCCTCCCATACTCCTCCTGTACCCCAATTATGAATCAGCATCCAATCATCAGGAAAAACATTCTGCTTTTGGTTTTTTTTGGGGGGGGGATAGGCTTACTTCACTTAGCATGATATTCTCCAATTCCATTCATTTATCAGCAAATGCCATGATTTTATTCTCTTTTAATACTGAGTAATATTCCATTGTGTATATACACCACAGTTTCTTTATCCATTCATCTATTGAAGGACATCTAGGTTGGTTCCACAGTTTAGCTATTGTGAATTGTGCTGCTATAAACATTGATGTGGCTGTGTCACTGTATATATGCTGTTTTTAAGTCCTTTGGGTATAAACTGAAGAGTGGGATAGCTGTGTCAAATGGTGGTTCCATTCCAAGTTTTCCAAGGAATCTGTATACTGCTTTCCAGATTAGTTGTACCAATTTGCAGTCCCACCAGCAATGTAAGAGTGTGCCTTTTCCCTCACATCCTTGCCAACACTTTTTGATGTTTTTATTCTTAGTAACTACCTTTCTGATTGGACTAAGATGAAATCTTAGAGTAGTTTGCATTTATATTTCTCTAATTGCTAGAGATATTGAACATTTTTTCATATATTTGTATATCTTCTTCTGAGAAGTATCTGTTCATTTCCTTAGCCTATTTATTGATTGGGTAATTTTTGTGTGTGTGTGTTAAGTTTTTTTAATTCTTTATGTATCCTGGAGATTAGTGCTCTCTCTGATGCGTGTGTGGTAAAAATTTGTTCCCATTCTGTAGGCTCTCTCTTCACCTCACTGATTGTTTCTTTTGCCGTGCGTGAAAAGCTTCTCAGTTTGAATCCATCCCATTGATTGATTATTGATTTTATTTCTTGTGCTTTAGGAGTCTTGTTAAGAAAGTCAGGGCCTAATCCAACATGATGAAGATTTGGGCCTACTCTTTCTTCTGTTAGGTGCACAGTCTCTGATCTAATTCCTAGGTCCTTGATCCACTTTGAGTTGAGTTTTGTGCATGGTGAGAGATAGGGGCTTAATTTCATTTCACTGCATATGGATTTCCACTTTTCCCAGCACCATTTGTAAGAGGCTATCCTGGCCCCAGTATATGCTTTGGGCACCTTGGTCTAGAATGAGATAACTGTATTTATGTGAGTTTGTCTCTTTGTCCTCTATTCTGTACTGTTGGTCTATATGTCTGTTTTGGTGCCAATACCATGCCGTTTTTGTTACTATTGCTCTGTAGTATAGTGTAAGGTCTGGTATTGTGATACTACCTGCTTCATTCTTCTAAGACTTGCTTTGGCTATTCTGGGTCTCTTATTTTTCCAGATAAATTTCATGATTGCTTTTTCTATTTCTATGAGGGATGTCTTTGGGATTTTGATTGGAATTGCATTAAGTCTGTGTAGTGTTTCTGGTAGCACGGTCATTTTGACAGTATTAATCCTGCCTATCCAAGAACAAGGGAGATCTTTCCATTTTCTAAAGTTTTCTTTAATTTCTTTATTTAGTATTCTGTAGTTTTCATTGTGGAGGTAGTTCACCTCTTTTGTTAGATTGATTCCCAAGTATTTTATTTTTATTTTTGAGGCTATTGTAAATGAGGTAGTTTTCTTAATTTCTCTTTCAGAGGATGTGTCACTAATGTACAGAAATGCCTTTGATTTATGGGTGTTGATTTTATATCCTGCTACTTTGCTGAATTCATTTATTAGTTCTAGAAGTTGTCCCATAGTCATAACAGTTCCTGTGTTGCCCAAAAGTCAAAGTCCACTCATCTGAGACTCAAGGCAAAGTCTTAGCTGTGAGCATCAAAAGCAAATTGCCAACATACAATGGCACAGAGTAAACATCCCCATTTCAAAAGGAAATATTAGGGATATAGAAGGAAGAGATGGAACCAAAGTGAAACCAAAACCAGCCATGCAAACAAGCCCTGTAGCTCCATGTCCAGCATGCCCTCAATGACCCACCTCCTCCACCCATGCCCCACCTGCCTAGTTATCACCCACTTAGTCATTTAAACTAGGATGGACTAATTAGGTCACAGCTCTGATAATCCCATCATATCACCTCTGAATGTTCCTGAATTAACACAGAAGATTTTGGAGGACATCTGATTGACCCTTCCACCCTCCCTATCCTTGTCATAGACAATTTAGCTCTCTGCTCTGGCTTTGTGAACTGGTCAGTCTCACCTCTTTCCATTGTCCCTCAGTATTCCCTTATCCGTGGTGTTACAAAAGAAGAAGAAAGATGAGTTGTTCCCGCTCATGCTAGCCTTGACTTTGCATGTGGGTGTAGATACTGGAATCAGGGAGGGACTGGTAGTAGGGGCATTCATTCCTTGTTTTATTTTCTATTTTTTATTATTTATTTATTTATTTATTTTTTGCTTTCTAAACTGAAATGCTGTTCTGATCTTGGAGTTTCTGTTCCCCATTGCTGGATCCCATTTTTGTGGATTGATTAAGTAGAATATGATATGTGAAAGTGATTTACAAATAAGTAACATTTTATTATAATTGGTCTCTTATGTGAAGTAAAATTTTATAATTTCAAAGTAATTGTGTGCAGGGGAGATAGACATTAATGAAGCAAATTTATTGAAAACTTTCAATTATGAAACATTCTTAAATAAATATGATTTTGTTGCTTTAAAGTACATATGGATTCAAATCAGAATAACAGGAATGTAATTTATTAAATGACCTGTTTAATGAATGCATAAGAATGTGCTGGAGTTGGTATTTCCTTTGTGGTTTTTCTTCTGATTACTTCTACTATTTTAGAAAATCCTTTATTCTGACACGTATTCATATTTATTACTTTGATGTTGATTTTAGACTACTATTTTTGCATCCAAAACATACTTTCTCCATATATAAAATTACCCAATTATCCAATAGCCTTATCTGAATTATAATAAATTTGAAGCGTGGGTACTATTGCTGGCACAGGCTACCATGAACCAAGC